GTTTATACGGTTTACAATGCATTTATAAGGTTTGATGAATACCCTTATTGTTTATATTTTTTAGTTATACATGTTTTAGAGGATACCTCCCTTAACATCCTGACCAAGTTTCATTTGATAATTCCACCTGGTTTTCTTAAAACAAGAAGTGCGGCTGAATACTAAAGCCCATCCTTCATTTCTAGCATCTCTATGAATATGCGCCAATTAGTCTCATTTAATATTTATATCAGTTGTGCCAGAAATTTCACCATTCTAACAACTGACGCGTATCTAAGGTCGAGGCCACGCAATGAGCGGCAAAGCGGCTGAGAGGCGCCATACAAAAATGTCGTTCATAAATACCGCTCAGTGCGTGGCCACTTCAATAGTATTTCGTATGTTTTCATTTTAAGCCGCTCAGCCGCTCATTGCGTGGCTTCGGCCTAAAGATGTATGAAAAATAAGAGAATCGAGATCTCAGAATCGATCGATTCCGAAAATTTAGAATCGATTCTCTAAAATCGACTATTTCGAGAAAATCTTCGATTCTGGAGTGGAATGGAATCAATTTCTCAATTTCCAGCACTTCCATGTAATCAATGAAATTTGTATGGTGAATTGTGCAACTTTAAAAGTTAATAACTTTTTTTATATTTATTTTTTTTAAATTTGGACTGAACTTAAGGAAAATTTTCCCAAATCAATTTCCGCCAGCGGATTTTTAACACTGGTAGAATACGCATCGTTTGATACCCTTTTCGGCTATTTTGGGCCAATTTTCGATGGGCCCGCTAAAGTGCACCACTACCATAACTTGAAGATTTAGAGCAAGATCTCGTCGAAGTCGAGGTTACAAAAAATGTATCGAGTATTACCACAGTAGACAGTAGCCAACCTTTTTGCATTGTTGTTGTAGTATTCGTTGTTGTTGTAGCCATATTCACTCCTGAGGAAGGCACGGGGTTGTGTGCTGCTAATAAACGGGCTTCCTCAGAATTTTTCTTAGATTTCAGGGGTATGTGCTGCATTATTATTATTAGATAAATAAATTTAAGCATTTGATATATCTTGATGTTATTAAAAAGAATATTATAAATGGTAATTATAATGGTAATTAAACAAATGCATAAGATGAATCCAATGAATCCAATTATATGAATGCTAAAAACTAGAAAAATTATGTACAGCAACATAAAATAGAGTTATATCGTATTCGGTGAGGATGTTTTTCATCATTTCATTGTTGGAATCCTAGTCAACCTAATTTCACATCATGGTCATCACCGTACACTAATGATATTGATTCATGTTGCAGACCATTGACCCTCAGCGACCTTCGTATCCATGAACTTGCAAGAAACAGCTGCCCGAAATTTTGCACGGCTCCTCTTCGTTTTGCTGCATAATTCCTCAGAAAAGAAATACCTTAACCCATTCGGTACATCTTTTTAGATTCAGGCTTTAAAAAACCAATTTTTTTATTAAATGATCCTTAATATATAACATAATCAAAGAACGTAGATAACAAGGGACAACTCGTTATAATTGTAGCGAAAGTGCGCAACAGGGGCGTGCCTTCTCTTTTGCCCTAGTGCGTTTTTTGATTGGATGAAAAGAGAAGGCACGCCCCTGTTGCGCACTTTCGCCACAATTATAACGAGTTGTCCCTTCTTGTTATCTACGTTCTTTGATATAATAACATTCAATTTAATTTTTTTCCAAAATGCGATTCTAAAGTGTTTTTTGGAATGATGCCATATGGCAACATTTGTACTAACTGGTATAAAAGATGTGCAAAGATTTTTTGATATGGTATTTTATTTTATTCAAATCAAAATAAATAACACCACACAAATTTAATAAAATAAGTTGGAACATGCATAGATTTAATAATTCATTTAAAAATATTACCAGTTCCAATTTCCCAGTACAAATATATCGTTATTTGCTGGTGCGGATTTCAGCTCCTTCAAATATTATTGATGCCATATGGCATCATACACATTTAAAAATATACCACGCGTTTATTAGCACTTTTTTAAATTAAATTACAAGTTCTAGCAATATTTGACACTATTTTGGAGACTATAGCATATTTATTTGTTTTTAATTTATTGGGTTATTTGGTAAAATATAGTATTTTAATGTAGACCTTTCTAAGCAGAAGAAAATCGATGTTTTAGTAAAGTTTAAAATTGAAATTTTTGTATCTACTATGGATAAAAATAACAATACCGTATTAAAATATAGTTTATAAAACTTCCCATTACAGCGTTGCATATAAAAATATAATTTCAGATAAGCCCAATTAAATTTGTGAGTATTCAAAAAAGCATGACGCCATATGGCATCAAAATAGCGAAATGGTTAAAGTGACAGTGTGCGTGTCTAATCTACAATAATTACATAAACGTAGTTAGTTCCTTTAGTTTAAAATTCACTCAACAAGAAATATTTCGTATACATACCTTTTGCAAATGAGATTGCAAGTATCCAGCCGGTAAACAGCCCATCGCCAAGATGTTTAAAAAGCATTCCTCCGCCATATCCCTTGTTCTTGCTAACATATAAAATTCGTGGAATTATAAAACAAAAGCATAAAAAGTACAGATTCTTGAAAAAATTCAATGAAAATTACTACCTGCTTGTATTTCGCGTAAACAGAGGAAAATAAACACAAATATAGAAGCTCTGATCCAATACTTTTCGTGAAAAATCCTGTAAAACTGTCAAACAGCAAAATTACTCTCTGAATTGAGAGTAAAAAGTGAGTAACAACAAAAAGTACGTGAACAAAAAAACCATTTTTCCTGTAAAAACGTCAACAAGTGATTGCTTGACACTTTTCACGATTTTACCAGAAGAAAAAGTTCGGGTAAAATCTTGCAACTTCATTCTCTACACAACTCTCCAAAAGTCGCTCTCATTTACAGGATTTTGGAGGATTTTGGAGTACGGGAACATTTTTCCTGCAACTTCCTGCAAGTTCGTGTAAAATCCTGTAAGTTCATGGAGTACTGGATCAGAGCTATATTCACCACGACAAGTAGCACCAGAGCAGTATTTTTTCTGTAATTTCTCATTTTAGTGGCAGCGCGCCGAGCGTTCAGATAGTCATTAGCATTTTGCACGAAAAAGTAGTGCTGCAAAAACATCGATGTTTGAAACTATCGATTTTTCGATGTTTTTGCCACTAAAACATCGATAGTATCGATACTATCGTGGTTTCTTGAGAATTTTAACTTTTTGTTTCAAGCTGAAATCCTTATCAATTAACAAACATAATTTTTTAATAAATTACATTTCTTATTTTAAAATTATCCAATAATTAATTTAAATTTTAATTTGACTTGTATTTAAGGTCACATTTAATTTATAATTATATAAAAGTATTCATAAAGCAACAACACTATTAATATGTGTTATAAATTATGTCTTATTAAATAAATTAAAGACATTAATCCAGGGTACACTTCAGGTTTTTATTCTTAATTTTCCCAATTAGAGATCGCACTGACAAAATCAATTTGTTAGTAATAACCAGGGCTGAAGAAAATAAGCAAGAAACAAATCCGTTTTAAGCGCTTAGATAAGCACAAAAACACCTTTTTTTCTTGCAACCCTATAGTTTTGTGTTGCCGAAGAAGAGGGGCTGAACAACTACATATTGCCTTCGGCCGCACTTAGGGATTATATCCCTCACTAAGTAGAATTCTCCTTTCTGTGTTGCCAAAGAAGGGGGCTGAACACCATTTTCAGAGAACACCTTCCTGCGTAGGCGGCCTTCGGCCGCACTTAGGGATTATAAACCTCACTACGTAGAATTCTCCTTTCTCTGTTGCCGAAAAAAGGGGGCGGAACACCTTTTGCAGAGAACACCTTTTTGCGTAGGCGGCCTGCGGCCGCACTTAGGGAATATAACCTTCACTACGTAGAATTCTTTCTATTGTATTGTTTTGTACGGTATGGGTGCAATGTAATGTAATTACAAGTTAATAAAAGTTGGATTAAAGTGATTTATATACAATATAAAATAAAATCAAAGTGTGTAAACTATTAGGTGGTGTTATGCGCATTTATATATATGAAAGTATGTGACAAATGCACTCTTTGATAAGGAAATCAAGTGGAACGACTTAAAAAATTTTAACTACAAATAACTTATAAACAATTATATTAGTGGTATTCATCTAAACCGATAACTTTATCAAGCAGATAATCTTATAAGTTTATGCACTCTGTTACATGAACGACCCACACTCTCTTTTCGTTTACACATGCGACAATAGTCGTGTTTTCTTTGGTTATAAAGCGCAGTGTCACTAACTTTATACTACTAGCACGGGGATAAAGAAATTATTGAAACTACCTCACTAAATTGGAAAAAATTATATTTACGACATATCTATTTAAATAAATGAAAATATAACATAAA